ATTTCGTACTTCTGAGATCCCTTCCTCTTTCGAAAAACTGATTCATCCGGAGAGGTTGGACCTGGCTGAAGGTTCGTTTAGTGGTTGTTTCCCAATTTGGCTCACAAACTTGACCCAACTAAGATATCTAGACCTTGGGTTCAACGAATTACAAGGCCAACTTCCAAGCTCAATTTCAAGACTCAAGAACCTTCAGTATTTCGACATGGCCTCGAACAATGTGAGTGGTGTAGTGGAGATGGAAACATTACTAGAGCTCCAAAATTTAGAGATTTTAACTTTATCCTTCAATAATATGTCAGTGCTCACCAAATCTAGTGCGAACGCCACTCTCCCCAAGCTTGGGAAATTACGATTGGCTTCATGCAATATAACAGAATTTCCAGTCTTTCTACGCAACCAAGAAGGACTCAGGACTCTAGACCTTTCCTTCAACCACATTCATGGCCATATACCAGTGTGGCTATTGAAAATGAGTAGAAAAACTTTGTTCCTGATAAACCTTTCGCATAACTTTCTGACTAGCGTCGAGGTGTCTCCGTTAATTCTTCCTTGGACAAACCTAGTTCTTCTAGACATCCGCAATAACATGCTACAGGGCTCACTTCCAATTCCGCCACTCTCCACTATTGTATATTTAGTCTCCAACAATTTACTAACAGGAGAAATCCCCCCAGTGTTATGCAACGTTAGCTCTCTTCAAGTTCTTGATCTGTCTTACAACAATTTGAGTGGCATGCTCCCCCAATGTTTGGCCAACTTCAGCAAATCTTTGTCGATATTGAATTTGCATGCCAACAAGTTCTGCGGGCCAATTGCACAAACTTGGAAAGTTGGAAACAAATTACAGTATATTAACTTGGGCCGCAACGAGTTTCGCGGACAAGTTCCAAGATCATTGACCCGTTGCAGGATGCTACAGTATCTTGATCTTGGGGACAATCGAATCCAAGACACTTTCCCATCCTGGTTGGGAACTCTGCTGAACTTGAAAGTTCTCATTTTACGTTCTAATGAATTTCACGGAGCAATTGGGACTCCAGAGTCTGATCTTGCATTTCCTGAGTTGCATATTGTTGATCTCTCCTACAATGAGTTCACCGGTGTTTTGCCTTTAAATTACTTGAAAACATGGAATGCTATGCGAAGTCTCAGAGCGGAGCCCTTGAAGTATATGCATTCCACTGACATTCTTGTGTATCATCTCGTCTATAAATATCACAGTTTCTATAATTACTCAATGACATTTACCAACAAAGGTATAATAACGGAGTTTGCGCATGTCTCAGAAGTGTTTACTGCTATTGATCTTTCATGTAATAGATTTCAAGGTCAAATTCCGGAGGCAGTTGGGAATCTGAAAGGGCTTCAATTGCTCAATCTCTCCAATAACATTCTTGTTGGCCAAATCCCACCAGTCATAGGATCCCTGTCAAACCTTGAAGCATTGGATCTTTCTTGCAACAAATTGGTTGGAAGAATCCCTTGGCAACTAACGCAGCTCAATTTTCTTGCAGTTTTCAATGTCTCTTACAACAATCTCACAGGGCCTATTCCACAAGGTCGACAATTTGATACATTTGACAATAGTTCATTTGATGGGAATTTGGGATTATGTGGAAGTTCATTGTCAAAAAAATGTGAGGATTCTGAGACTCCCATCACTGCCATCATCGGAAGAAGATGAAGACTGGGTATCAGTTTTCCATTTTGGTTGGAAAGTAGTGTTGATCGGTTATTGCTTTGGCATGGTAGTTGGATTGATCATAGGGAACATCACCATCACGAGAAAAGATGATTGGTCCATGAGGACTTTTGGAAAGAAGCGATGGAGGAGGCCAATCAAAAGCCTAGCAAGGTGGTAAAAGAAGGGCGCAAGTGGCAAGACAATGAAACCTATCAAAGCCAGCATGCCTTGAGCTATCATAGGTGAAGTAGGTTAGCTTTTACTCGTTCAAAAAGCTCCAGCTTATGTAATGGCAATAACTCTTAATCTTTTTAAGCTTTTGTAACTTGTTATTATTAGATGTTGCCAAGAATATTCATAGATGCTGTTCATTTCTCAATGGAGAATGTAACTTCTATAAAATGGAAACAGCAGACATTAGATTAAGAAGCTCAATCCTCTCACTACTACACAAGCAATGGACAAAGAAGACTACAAAAAGATTCTCACTATTGGCAACATAAATAACATACAAGGCCTTGAAACCCAACCAGACTTTATCTCAATAGCAATAAAGACTTTCGATCCTTTTAAATCCCAAGTTCGAATACCATCATGCGGGATTAATTTGATTTTATATAAATTTGTTGATTTTTTTAATAAGTGAAAAGAAATTTATTAAATAATGAAGAGATTACAAAGTTAACAAAAATGTAAAAATAGAAAACAAAATTTTAATACAAAATATAGAATCGAGGTAAGAAATTACACATCATAAGAAAAAACTAAAAAAAATAAAAAGATCGTACTAAAAATCCAAAATAAAAAAACACCCAAAAATTACAGTTTGTTAATTTATTCTTCTTCATTTGTTATAATTGTATTAAGAATTAATAATTTGATCGTGATATAATGTTTACTTGTATATATACAATCTCATTTAAAAACAAAATCATATTCTGTATTATTACTTAAAAAAAATATTAAAATTCTTAGATACATGTTAGTTTTATAATTTGAGGAGAATTATTTGCAATATCTTTGCATATATTTTCTTCCCTTTTATTTATGAAAATGGTGAAATGATACGAATTAGCTGCTTATAACTAATCATGCATCTTGAAAATTTATGCAATTATCAAAGCCATTGATGCACCAACTTATTCATGTCTCTGTCGACCTACACCGACCAACCAAGCATTGTTTAGGGGAGGACACAGACCAAGCATTCAATTCCTTTTGATCAAACATGTTCAATGCAATGAACTAATATAATAACAAGGGGACCCTCAACCCATGTCCGAATGGGACTTTACATCATGAGCATATGCGGTTAAGTAAAAATCTTGTCATGATCAATTCTTGTGCATTGGACCTTTTAACTCAATTTTTTCAAGGAGAATGACAATATAGTAGAATTGTCTACAAAACACTGTAGCACCTATAAATTGAATATGATGTTTAAGTACCCCATGCTTTGAACATTGTCTAAACAATCATAAAGGGACCACAGATTACCTCGTTAAATTGACGAAAATAGATGTTACAAGTAATGAAAAGAACAACACATATATAGTATCTGTCACAAATTTAAAGTTTATCGAGCTTTACAATATAATGCAAATAATTAATAAAGTAAGTTAGTAAACAAGGTTAAAATCTATACATCTTTTGCATATGTAACTTTTAACATCTCATGTGTAATTCATCTTATGTTTGGGAATTATGAGGGAAATGGAAGGAAAGGAGAACAAATATCTTAAGGTTGCTAGACTTTCACTCTTTTCTTTTGCACTAATTTATTAAGCGTGTCTTGCAATCAAATCCTGATTTTTCAACAAATTACATCATTAATCTAATCAAGAAAAATAATTAAAACAAGAGCTAGACAACCCCCTCAATGTTGACCTTAATCAGCCTAAGCATGCTGGATAAGCGTTAAGTACTGGCAAACATTAATTCAAAGTGGTTGTATATTGCTTTACTATTATTGCTACAGACTTCTAGCAGTATGCGCAGGAATGTGTTGCTGCACATAAACTAATGTCTTTCAATTGGATATTTCTTCGTCTCAGAGTGCAAATTAACCAAACATAGCAAACATATATGGGGCTTTTCTTAGTACACTTCTTGCTCTCTCTTTTGCAACTCACTCTCTCAATTCCATCAGCGCAGCCACTCTGCCATGGGGGTGAGCGTCTAGCCTTGTTGCAATTCAAGGAAAGCTTTATCACTGATAAGAATACTTCCGCTGATCGATGTGCTTATCCTAAGGTTGATCAATGGAAATTTCAGGGGGGACGATTGCTGCTCACGGGAAGGAGTAGAGTGTGACCACGACACCGGCCTTGTGATAAGCCTTAACCTTAGTAAAAGTTGCCCCCATGGTTCTATCAATTCCAGCAGTAGCCTGTTCCGCCTTGCTCATCTTCAAAAGCTTAACCTGGGATTCAATAACTTTAGTTACTCCACGATACCATCGGCATTGGGCAACCTTTCGAGGTTAACATATCTGAACCTCTCTTATTCTTTATTTTTCTGGTCAGATACCTTTCTCAATTTCAAAGCTTTCCAGGTTATCTACTCTTGACCTGTCCGTTAATTTTGTTGATGCTACTCATTTTGAAGGATTGTTACAACTGAAAAGGCCTGATATGAAGAGCTTAGTACAGAATTTAACCAGCTTAACATACCTTGATCTTTCTTTGGTAGATGTATCTTCTCCAGTACCAATTGTCTTAGCAAATTTGTCTTCATTAACATCTCTTGGTTGCCATAATTGTAAACTTTTTGGCAAATTTCCAACAGCTATTTTCCAACTACTGAACCTTCCAACTCCTTGAGGCCTCCAAAAATAAAGAACTTGCTGGTTATTTGCCAGAATTTTACTTCAGCAGTCAGCTTAAAGTTTTGTCAATTTGGATGACAAGCTTTTCCGGTGAAGTACCGGCCTCATTTGGGAATCTCCACTCCTTGGAATTCTTGGCACTTAGCCAAGCCAATTTGAAGGATCAGTGCCTTCGTCACTTGGTAATCTCACTAAGCTCACCCATTTAGGCCTTAAAAACAATTCTTTTACTGGCGAGCTGCCTTCTTTTTTGTCAAACTTCACCCATCTGAAATTTTTAGCACTAGGCCATAATAAATTCCGTGCCTCTGAGATCCCTTCCTCTTTAGAAAAATTGATTCATCTGGAAAGGCTTGACCTGGCTGAAAGTTCATTTACTGGTTGCTTTCCAACTTGGCTCACCAACTTGACCCAACTAAGATTTTTGGACT